GACCTGTAAAGTGTTAAAATATTATATTTCCATTAAAGAAGAAAGATAATATTGTAGATAATTTATGAATAATAAAAAATAAACTATGGTATTAGTCTAGCTATATTGTAGCATTCAAATTCCTACCACTTTGCATACTCTGTATGCAACACATTACAGTTTATCTAATGCATGTAACAATTCATGACTCTGTACTCATAATCTATGGATTTTTCCAGTTATTCAATTTATTGATGGAAATTTATGGATTCCTATCTTCTCATCAAAATACTTTCTTCATTCGGCTTCACTTAAAAAAGAAAATTCTAGGCCTGGGGTGGTGGCTCATGCCTGTAATCCCAGCACTTTGGGAGGCCGAGGTGGGCGGATCACGAGGTCAGGAGATCGAGACCATCCTGGCGAACATGGTGAAATCCCGTCTCTGCTAAAAATACCAAAACAAAAAAACAAAACAAAACAAAAACAAAAACAAAAAGAAACAAAAAACATAGCCCGGCGTGGTGGCGGGTGCCTGTAGTCCCAGCTACTCAGGAGGGTGAGGCAGGAAAATGGCATGAACCCGGGAGGCGGAGCTTGCAGTGAGCTGAGATCGCACCACTGCACTCCAGCCTGGGCAACAGAATGAGACTCTGTCTAAAAACAAACAAACAAACAAACAAAATGAAAGAAAATTCTAGTTTTTCTACCTCATTGATTTCTTCATTTAGTATATTTCACTATTTTAGCTCACTTTCTCTGTCTCCAAATGCTGTCATGCCTTATTTTCTTCTCTTATTTCTCTCTTTGTTACTGTTTCTCTTCCTAATTTCTTCTTCTCTCTATTTATACCTCTCTTTCTGCATAATCATCCAGTATTAGGGTTTCTAATACCTTTGACCTCTCCATTACAGACCTCTCCACTGCTCTGTAAACGCTTTTGTATTAAATTCCACACAAATATGTAATTGACATTTCAAGATTCACACATAGAAAAAATGTACCAATTTTACCTCTAAATTGTCTCTTTTAACAGCCTTTCCCATATGTATAAGTGGATACACCGATCTCTTTCTACTCAAGGCAGGTATCTTGGAGACTGCGTTTACTTTCTTTATCTCAAATCTCATAACCAACACATCAGTTAGTACTGTAAGCTATATCTGCAAAGCATCTCAAACTTCTGAGAGTGTGTCTTTATCCCACTGTGCATGAAGCCATGATCATGTCTTATCTGGAGCAACTGCCTACCTAGTATCTTTTCTTCTACACTTGCTTCCCTGGTGTCTATTTTGGACACAGCAGCCAGAATAATTCTCTTAAGCTGTAAATCAAATCTGGTCACTCACCTACTCAAACTCTCCAGTGGCTTCCTGTCTCTCTCAGCGAAAAATACTAAAGTCTTCACAATGACTTACAAAGTTCTACATGTTCCAGGCTCCTGACACCTTTCTTAAGTCATCCCTTGCTAGTCTCCTTTAGATTTTCTGCTTCAGCTAAACTGAATTGTATCCTGTTCTTTCCATTGGAAAGGGATGTTCCTGCCTCAAGGTTTTTCATTTAAACACTATTCTATCACTATTTGTCTCCTCCAAGTACATGTATGACTCATCACTTTCAGGTTCTTACTCAGTTACTCAAAGATGTTTAACTAATCGTGTTATTGAATTGCAATTGAAACTAACCTCTCCAAGCCCAGAAATCCCATGTATAATTATAGCTTAAGTCTATTTCATAGCACATTTTCTCTTTACCATTCATTCATTCATTCATTCAATTGTTCCTTTCTTATTCATTTATTTATTTGTTTTCTTTGTCTTCTCACTAGACTATAAGCTACATAACAGCAAGGGGTTTTGTCTCTATGCTTCACTGCCATATACTAAGTACCTAGTATTCAATACATAGTAGATTATTTAATATTTATAAATTAGTGGAACTTATTTTGTATAATATTCTAATTATAAAAGTAAATTTATTCTGTGTCATATCAGAGACTACTTCATATATTGCTAACGATATGATCATTATTTTTATTTTGTATTTTTGCCTAATTGCAAACTCTCTGAGAGAAAGAGCTATCTTATTCATTTTCATATCTCCACTACAATACTGGGCCACATTCTTTGAACTCAATAGATATTTTTAAAGTGAATTAGTGGAACCAATTTCAAAGTCTGGGTTAGCAGAGGTAAAAATAATATAGTGCTGACTAAATACGTAAGTGCTACTGAGGAAATGCTAAAAAGTAATCAATTTAAGTGGTATCAAGAGCCAATTTTTTTCCAGAAATATATAATAATACACAATTCTTTTCTTCAGCTTACAAGGTCACTTTGAGAGAAGTGAATATATCACCCTGGTGTTTACTCTCACCTACTGATACAGAAATTGCTATGTGAATTAAACATATCGCCAGGTGTAGAATGTCAAATAGATTCATAAATAGAACTTGTTTCCTGCTTATCAAGTGACAGTTGTCTATCCTTTCTATTCCTCAGCACCAGATGTAGAGGACAGACATGTATTTCGACCCCACACATTTCTACTTTCAAAGCACACCTCTGCCTAATCTATTAGGGGTCATTAGTACCTCTGGGTATCACCATCTTTGTGTAAAAGTACTGCCATTTCTGTTTTACTACTGTTTCTGCCAGAAAGACCACTGCTGGCGGGCCCCACTATCTTCCTCTGGGTACAGGTACTCATTTGGTGAGTATTACTATGTTTGCTGCATACCACTTACACATGTTTGGCCCTACAGCTAAGGAGATGTCACGACTAAAGTCTATTGATTGATGAGTTCAGGAGAAATGCCTCTTTCCTATTTTGGGAATGCTCTGTTATACTTCAGTGTCTTGTGGCTTTAAGAAAGTAATTTTTACAATGTAAATACTTCCCTTTTACAATCTATCACAACAAGAAACTGAAGCTGACCAGTAATTGAAAACTGAGTAAAAATATTTTATTGTGTTGAAAGCTAGAAGCCATTCTTCCAATGGCAAAGTGTATGTGGACAAATTTGTTCTAACAGCAACTTCCCTTAGGATTTGTTCTTACTAAGTGAAAGAACTTCATCATTTTCTCATTAGACATAAATGATCAATTTTCAACTCTGCAAAGGATGCAGATTTGGCCCAACCTAGATCCCATCCCCAATCATAAAGTGTGTTTAATTATCCCTCTTATAAATGTCACAACTACTTTGTGAACTTGATCTCATAAGTATTATCTTCATTTCAAAGTTTCTTTGATGTTCTAAGCATTGAAGTGATAACTGTTGAGTAATTACTTAGTGATAGAGTATAATCACAAGTTTCTGTATAAATATAAATAATTGCATTATTCTTTCACAAGAACTCTAAGAGATAATGCAAGAAAAATATTCTGAATGTTACAATGAATTATGTCAGGATAATTACTTAATTCCATAAATTGACTTAAAAATTTATTCTCAGTCTGAGTTTTGAATAACATAAAACATTAGAAATACATTTAGAATAGGCAATTTAAAATATTTAGTAGAATTTCTAGCCTAATTTCAGGACAAAAAGTTTTTTTAGTACAGTTTAATCCTTGATAAAGATGGTTTTTTAAAAAAATTGATTGCTTTTACTTAAAAGCATATACCAAAAGGTAATAATCTCAGAATATGTATAAAATAGATGATACTTCTTAAATTTTAAATATCAATAAAGCACAGGGGAAAGATGTATAATATCATAAGAACCACCTGTTCTGATAAAGAGCAATGCACTTCCAGGTGGAAAATCTGGACTTATTTCACTCAGAGGTACTAGTCACATAAGAAAGGGGGCTCCTGGGTGCTGAAGATGGGAGCAGGATAAGCAGGACTGATATTAAGAGCACTAATCCATAGAGAATTAATAAGACATTGGACAGTGGTAGAATTTAAAGTAATTCAAAAGTACAACTTGATTGAAGAATCAACTATAAAGGACTCATGGGGAGGAAGATCCAAACATGAGAAAATGATACAAAAACCTAGAATGCAATTCAAAAGCCAGATGTGAAATGAACACATGGATGTAATGGGAGCCATTTCCTCAGGCTGCAGCATTAGCCACAGCTGTTTGTGTAAGGTCTCATTAGCTTCTACCAGAAGACCCACTGAAGAGCATGGTTCCCCATGGTTTCACCAATTTAATTCAGCCACATAATAGTTGTTTGTCGTTTTTATTGTTCCTTTAGAGCCAGAATTATAGCTGCATAGGAAAAGAATATTTCTTTACTTATTCAAACTTATTACGTATGTGAGCATGGGTTGGAAATATTTAATTATATCAGTTCAATAGAAAAATCTGACAAATTGCAATAGGTTCTTTCCGTGGTAAATGACGTCCACTCCAGCTCAAATTCTCAAAAGGAATCTTTAATACTTCCACGTCCCCAACTCAAAATTACTCATCTAAGCTATTTGATATGTACTCACATGTACACAACATTTTAAAAATATTTAATATTTTAAGAGTCCGTCAAATATCCTAATCACTATGCTACTTAGGGTATATATAGATGAACCCAAACTTATATTTCTTATCAAAGAATTTAACATATGGTGGACTTATCACTTTCTTCCTATTCTGTAGTTGGCTCTGAAATATTGCATCTCTTATGTGGATGATTGTGAACATACCAACCAGCTTACTCTGCCCAGCAATATTTCTCCATTATGGCCCATCTACTAATAGGCTAAATATTTGTAATATAGTATTGTTTATGTCACCTTCTGTAAGGAAAATGACTGTGCTTTAGTTAGGAGTAGGCCGTGGCGGCCTTCTGGAGCAGTGGGTTTCGAGTGCAGGCACATAACCCTGCACATTATGTAACCACGCCATGTGAGACGCATTAGGTGGTCACCCACATGAGCTTGTGATGGGCCCTGAGCCACTATTGTCTGTTAAAGGTATAATAAAAGCTGTACATATGGCTCACTCATGCCCAGAGAGGGAGTAAAGCCATGTGAAAACTGTCTACGATTCCTCAAGCGTTTTCCAAGTTACCTGCCACTCGCCGACCAACTCCCCTCAGACTTCAGTTAGAACCTGACAATTGGCATCACGAACAGGGTCCCGAGGTGAGTGAGCCTTCATACCCTGCTAGTTCTGGGTCAGCCATGTGGCTGCAACATGGGTTGTGGTACCCGGTGGCAGCTGTGCTGCTGGGATGGGCCTCAGTGGAAACCTGAGTGGAGGTAGATGGTTCCCAGCAAGCACGGAGAAGGCGCTGAAGCAGCTGGAAGCATAGCATGGAGAGGGAGTGATCTTTTGCCAGAAGAGTTGAATAGACATTTTTGACTGTGCTGCAAGTACATACCCAGTCCCTGAGAGACGCAGTGCAGGTCAGGCCCCTCCAGGTGCAGGCAGGGCACCTAGAGGCCTAGCTACACAGCTTAGAAAAAGAGATAGATACTGCCATGAATGGACGCCTCCAGACACAGGCAGGGCGCCTGGAGGCTCTGCTACATAGCTCAGAAAAATAGATAGAAGCTGCCATGAATGGAGACCTCCAGGTGCAAGCAGGGCCCCTGCAGGCCTGGCTACAGAGCTTGGAAAAGGAATTAGAGGCTGCTGTGAATGCAGGCCTGGGTCCCTCATCTCAGTTGGACATCCCCACTCAGTCTGATACCAAGGAGGAAGAACCCCCGTTGTGCTGTTGCCCAGTGGTCCATCAGAAAGCAGATCACGAACAGCCATTGGGGCCCCAAAGGCAAACTCAGGGACTGTCCAAGGTAAGGCAACATACCTCATATACTGCCTATACCCCAACTGAGTTGTGGGAATTAGGCAAGCATTGCTGTCAGCATCCAGGGGAACCTCTCCCTGCCTGAGTGCTTCATTTGTGGGAAGAAGAAGCAGATAGTATCTCCTGTTCTGCCTTTGAGATGGAAAAGCTGGCCTCTATCACAGCTCACCCCTCCCTCCATCAGCAGTTGCAGATGAGCAGGTGGTTGTTGCAAGGGCAAGGTAGCCACACCCTGACTAAGTGACTAGGGACAGCCATACAGACTGTGGAACGACACCAGTGAAATATGCAAAACCGTGAGTAAACGGCAGTTGTATGCCGATTTGGTGCAAGTCATCCGAGAGATAAGTATGTGGCAGGCTGTGTTTGACCTGAATACCCATGGGCCAGATGATGAACGTTTCACCTCCCACATGAGGAATATTGTGTTGGGTTCTGCACCCCCAAGTACCTTTGGTCCGTAGCTACTGTCCTTATCCCATACGTACAATGCTGCATACGTAAAGTGACCACTGCTCTGGTGGCTCTTGGGGAAGCAGAAGGCTGTCAGTGAAACAGAGGGGTCCACGCTGTAAAGAAGGTGAGGATATCCCACCTGCAGGGGTCCCACAATGGATGAAAAAGGGGCCCCAGTGAGTGGCACACTCACACGTGTGGATAGATTTGATTTTGGCCAGGGTTGACCATGAGCAAATTGATATGCAGCCCAGTAAAGTACTCTTAACTTTGAGCAGACGGTTGTCTCTGGAGCAGCAGTCCCAGAAAATGCCTAAGGGGGAGAAGGATATTGCTGTATGATCCAGTCCCACCGGGTGATGTAGCTCAAAGACTACTTGCTGCAGACAGGCAGAAATATAATGCCTTTTTTGTTTGATTAGGGAGCTGGCCGAGGGGCCCGGCTTAGGGGAACACAAGTTGACTGAAGGCCATGTATGGAATTAGCAATCCACTGGTTCTCCCACCAGTGTACGGTGAGTACAGGCACTGGTTGATACTGGGGCAGATTGCAGCCATCTTTATAAGAACCTGGATAAGTTTCCTCCTACTTACGTTGATGATTATGGAGGCCAGTCAGTGAAAGTGAAACCTGTATCTCTGCTCCTTGGCATCGTCCATTTGGCTCTCCATTTATATGCTGTGTATGTCTCTCTCATTCTGGAATACATTCTGCGGGTGGATATCTTGCATGACCTGATGTTACAAACCATGGCCAGGGAATTCAGACTCTGAGTGCATGTGGTGAAGCCGGTGCTGTGTGGGCATATGCATCACCAGCCTTAGGTCCTACCAAAACCCAAGTCAATATCATTTGCTGGGTAGGCGTATGGAGATAACTGAGACAGTTAAAAAAGCTGAAGGAGGTACAAATAGTGCGTGGCACCCTCAGTCCCTACAGTTCTCCAGTGTGGCCAGTTAGAAAGTCTGATGAAACCTGGTGGATGGCGGTGGACTATCAGGAACTGAATAAAGTGACACCCCCTTTGCATGCAGCTCCACTCTCAATCATGGATTCAATGGACCATTTGACAAGGGAACTGGGAGAGTACCACTATGTAGCGGACTTGGCCAATGCATTTTTCTCCACAGACGTCGCCCCAGAGAGTCAGGAACAGTTCACCTTCACGTGGGACGGGTAACAATGGACTTTTACAGTGTTGCCGCAGGGCTATGTGCATAGCCCCACGAAATGTCATGGTCTAGTTGTCATGGATTTAGCCACTTGGCTATGTCCAGAAGGGGTCTGCCTATTCCATCATATTGATGATATTATGTTAACCTCTGTTTCTCTTGCAGATTTAAAAGTGGTAGCACCCCTCTTGCAGCAACATTTGGCAGCATGTGGTTGGGCCATCAACAAATCCAAGGTCCAGGGGCCTGGATTATCTGCCAGATTCTTGGGAGTTATCTGGTTGAGTAAGACAAAAGCCATCCCAGAGGCTATCACTGATAAGATTCAGGCGTATCCCCAGCCCACCATGGTGAAGCAGCTGCAAACTTTTGTGTGCCTCCTGGGATATTGGCAGGCATTTGTGCCCCATTTAGTTCAAGTGATAAAACTGTTTCATATGTTAACAAAGAAGGGAGCTACCTGTGATTGGGATGATGCAGCTGAGACCACCTTCCTGGCAGGCAGTCAGGCTATTCAGAAGGCACAAGCTCTTTGGGTAGTTTACCAGAGGTGCCCATTTGAGCTGGGTGTGCATGTGAGCACAGATGGTTTTGGCTGAGGCCTGTGGTAGCTCACAGAGCACTTGAGAATGCCAGCAGGCTTTTGAAACCATAGAAGAGAGCTGACCTCCACTATTCCCTGATAGAGTAACAGTTGTGTTTGGCACCCTTCAGGCTTGTGAGAGTGTGACAGGATGGGCTGCCATCATCATGTGGATGACTTATTAGATAGCAGGATGAGTGAGTTCATGGGTAACGGCCCCCTGGACTGGAATGGCACAGACATCCACTTTGGTAAAGTGGGGCGCCTACTTGGAGTAGTGGAGTATGCTGAGTACAAGTCCCTTAGCAGACCTGCAAGAGATCTTGGGACCAGTAGTCCTAATGCAAGGTAAGTTCACTGGGCTTGAGGCACCCCTAGACCCTGAGCCTTCACCATTTAAGGAAAGGCATCCCCCTCATTCCTGATGGGACATGGTACACAGATGTGTCTAGCTGAGGTGCTACTGCTGCCTGTATCACTGTTGTAGCCCAACCTAGTACTGACACCATATGGTTTGAAATCAGGTGTTGACAAAGTAGCCAATGGGTTGAACTTAGAGACAAATGGATGGTAATCACCCAGGAGGTGATACCTATGGTAATCTGTACCAGTAGCTGGGTGGTCTACTGAGGCTTAGCCTTGTGATTAACTACCTGGAAAACACAGAAGTGGCTAGTCAGCCACCAACACGTTTGGGGCCAAGCCATGTGGTAAGACTTCTGGGAAACTGGACATCAGAAAGAGGCAACTATTTATCATGTGTCACGCCATATGCCTTTGGCCACCCCGGCAATGATGAGGCAGATGCCTTGGCCAAGTTTCGGTGGTTAGAGTCAGTACCTAGACATGATGTGGCCTTGTGGCTACACCAGAAACTGGGACATGATGGGGGTAAACTGATGCAACAGGTCAATAAGCGTTGGGGTTGGTCTCTGCCCACACAAGACATTTGGGATGCTTGCACATGCCTGGCATGTGCTCAGGCATACCCTACACGGAGGCAGGTGCCCATTGTTACACAATAAGTAACAATAGGGTGAGTGGTCTTGACCAGGTGGCAAGTAGACTACACTGGGCCCCTGCCAAATGCAGGGGTGGCCAACCAACAGCATGCCATCCAGGCCCTGAAACACTTATGTGCCCTGTGTGGTCACCCTCTGGCTGTTGAGAGTGATAGGGGAACACATTTCACTGGAAAACAGGTACAACAATGAGCACAACACATGGTCAAAAAGTGGGGATTCTATGTGTTATACAACCCACAAGCTGCAGGTAGGATTGAGTGATGTAACAGGCTCTTGAAGAACGGGTTACACTTGCATGTCACATTCTGTCTTTGTGGGGCTGGAGTTCTAGGCTGGACCCAGTGCTCCAAACCTTGAATGAATGGCCATGGAAAGGTGACCCTTCCCCGGTGGAGGCTTTGTTACACCAGGCTGCTATTCACATTTAGTTTCAGATACATACCAAGGATGGCCTCCTCCAACCAGGTATGGGGATGAGTGGTAACCTGTTGTTGCCTGCCCCAATGCCCCTACAGGTAGGGGAACAGAAAACCTGGCCGTGACCATGGACCTTCCAAGCCCCCACTGCCAGTGGTTGGCCGTCATAGCTCCCTGAGGGGAGGACTTATAGTATGACTTTCATGTCACTCCTTGGGTGTTCAATGCATGGCCCCCATGGTTGACTGTTCATAGGGAATAGCCAGGGAAGGAACCCTCCTCCAGAGGACATATGTATGACAGTCTATGTGGCTTATTATGATCTCCTCCATGACTTTGGCATAGATACAGGACCTAAAGGAACCATGGGGAGTTGAGAAGCTGTGGTACCATTGCCCAGGGCAGAAGCCCTTGGAGGCTGCATTGTTATCCAGGGATGAAAGGTTAGCCTGTATTTTGTCTGAGGGATGTGATTTACCTCCATCAGTACCTGTGTCTTCTCTGTCATTTCAACCATAGGTTAACATGCTCCAACTGCATTGTGGACTGGCCCCACACCTATGCGGAGGTGACCAAGGTTTCTAACTGTTGGATCTGTGCCTCCCTTCCAGCAGCAGCTGCAGATGGCTTGCCTTAGCACATATATTCAGTGCCTGCAGAGAACTGGACATGGCTGGAGACTTGGGGTTCCACGGCCAATGCCTGGAATGCAATGTGACAAGCTTTGAACAAAGGATCCACAAGACCCATGGTATACCTGCCCCCTGGTTGGCCCATAGTATTTATGATGTGTGGGGCTGGCTAGTGGGGAAATATGTGGTAGTCCCAGCCCAGGAACCACAGTGCATAGAGCAACACGGAAACACCACTGTAGGGCGGGTACCCATCACGGCCTGTGTAAACATAACACACGTTGCCACTCTGAAGGTACGGTGGAACAAGTGGCCCCACCAAGGTCAGGTCCCGATGGATTTTGTGCCCCCTGGGAGTTTATGGGTCTCTGGGGACAAAGGGTGGCTTCCTTCCTTACCAGTGGATTGAACTGGATGATGTACATGAGGGTGGCCTTACGTACCTGCCACTGTCCTCCCCATGTTGCCCAGTTGCCCACATAACTGGGAGGAGGTACAACACACTTGTTTTTTGTGAGTGTGATGAGCCCCCTTGTGGTTATATCCCTTGGCAATGACTATACCTGGAGCAGGTGCTCTAACAGTAGAAGCACAAGTTACTATTCTTGCAGAGCACACTGCTCAGATTCTAAATTACACCTGAGTGGTCCTCCTCCTGTTAAAAGATGAGGTTGATCAGGTCAGAAAGGTGATATTGCAAAACCAAATGGCCTTAGACATAATAACTGCTGCCCAAGAAGGCACCTGTGCCTTTTTAGGAACACAATGTTGTACCTTTATCCCTGACAATTGGCAGAACATAACAGCAGCCCTGCAAGGGGTCTCACGGGAGAGTAAGGTGCTCAAGAGCTGTACTGACGACTGCCTGCAGAGATGGTGGGAATCCCTAGGCTCTGGCCTACATTGGGCCTTAATAGTCATAAGTTGCATAGCTTGGATCCTAGTAGTGAGCTGTTGCTCTCTGTATTGCTGTTGTGGGTTATGGATTCAGGGCTTCGCCCTATTGGCTCGTGTCCCTGCCCAGAGTACAACCTCAGCATAGAGGGTGGGGTATAAGGGAATGGCTGTGCTTTAGTCAGAAGTAGGCTGAAGCTGCCTTCCAGTGCAGCATAACTCAGCAAGTTTGGAGTTCAGGTATACAACCCCACACATTATGTAGCCATGCTATGTGAGGCACATTAGGTGATCACCCATGTTAGCTCTTGCTTGGCTTGGAACCATTATTGTCTGGAACAGGTATAATTATCCTGATAACACCATACATATGGCTTGCTTGTGCTCAGAGAGAGAGTAAATCTATGTCAAAACTGTCTATGATTCCTTGAGTGTTTTTCCAGCTACCTGCCACTTGCCCACTGAGTGGGCACTCCATCCTGAGAACCTTCTCCATCCTGAGAACCTTCATTGCCCACTCCATCCTGAGAACCTTCATTGTCTTCTCACTGACTGAACCCTGAAGACCATATTTAATCTTCAAGGCCTTTCACCCTCAAGTCCATGTTTATGTTTTCAGACCAATCTGCCCATTACTTACCCATAGACATTTCATCTATGGAAAAAGTTTCTTTTTATTATTTGAAATTACAGATGCTTAATGCTCATTCTCTTTTTAACAATAGCATGCTAATCTACTCATAGTCCCTTTATGTATCTTGATTTTTTTTGTGTGTGGCAAAATATATATAACATGAAATTAGCATTGCAACCATTTTAAGTATACAATTCCATGGTATTAACTGAACTTAGAATCTTATACAACCACCACCACTATCTATTTATAAAATGTTTTCATTATCCCAAACAGAAACTTCATAACCATTGAGCAAAACCCCCAATCTCCAATCCCATGGCCCTTGGTAACCTCTCATCTACTTTCTGTCTTTACAAATTTGCCTGTTCTAGATATTTCATGAGTGGCATCATATGATATTTTTCCTGTTGTGTTTGGCTTATTTTACTTAGCATAATATTTTCAAGGATCGTACATATTTTAGGATGTTTCACTCCTTTTTAAGGCTAAATAACACATCATTTATATATACCACCTTATATTTATATATTCATCTGTTGATGAATACTTGGGTTATTTCAATTTTGTGGCTATTGTAAATAATGCTGCTATGAACATCAGTGTCATAAATCTCTTTGAGAACCTACTTTAAATTATTTTAGATATATACCCAGAAGTAGAATTGCTGTATCATGTGTTAATTTTTGTTTGTTTTGAGGACTAGCACACTGTTTTCTGTAGTGGCTGCAACCATTTTACATTCTCAACTACAGTGCACAAAGTTTCCAATTTCTCCATATCCTCATCAATGCTGACATACAAGTAACTGCATGAGTGATTGTTTTCATATTCTTTGGGTATATACTAGGAGTGGAATTCCTTAGTCATACAGTAATTCTGTGTTTAGGTTTTTAAAAAAAACCTCTAAACTATTCCACATAGGGGCGTCTTCATTTTATATTACCACTAACACAATATCTTCATGGACTTGCCCAAACTTGGTATTTTCCTTTTATGTTTTTTTAATTTTTTTAAGTTGTTGAAATGATGCAGAATTTTTCTCAGCCATTTTGCCAGCTTGAGACCTCTGGCTGGAGATTTCCAGCCAGCAGTGCCCCTGCTTGACCCACATTCTCCACAGGAGGTGCCCCAACCACTCAGCCACTGGGCCACACCTGGCTTTCACTCTGGCATGAATCCTGCAGCCACCATGATTATGAGCTCAGCCCCCGGATGAAGAGGATGTATAGGCGAGTGAGTGAAGGGTCTGGCCAGCTGCTTCAAGTACTGGCACAGGAGTGAGTTCCATGCAGGGCTTACAGCTTGACCATGCATGTTGCAAGTGACTTCCATGGTGGACTCTAGCATCTAGACAAGGGGAACATGAAGGCACTCAAGCAGGGAAGCCCATGACCCAGAAGTCCCAGAGTGGGTGTTACAGTGTGAATAATAACTCTTTTAGTCCCACTGCCCACAGCCCAAGGCACAGTGGCAAGTTAACAACTCCATCAGTCCCGTCACACTGCTCTGGCCTGAGGCACCTGAATTGGCTCAGCCCCAGGCCAGCACTGCTTTCCATGGAGTGGGGCAGTTCCCTTCTGCTGGCAGAGGTTGGAGGGCTACAGTGTTACTGCTTTCTTTGTACCTGTGCTCAGCCGGGTCCCAAGTTCTTGTTCGGAGTCCAAGAAGAATGAGCTTATGCTGACAATCAAAGGGTGAGGAAAGAGGATAAAAGTTTCACTGAGTGATGAAAAAGCTCTTAGTGAAGAGGGAATGTGGTCAGATGGTCTCTCCCTCAGTGTGGCTGGGTCTGGGGCTTTTATGGGCCCAGAATATGAGAGTGCTGTGCTGACTGGTTTATGAGTATGCAAAAGAGGCTAAAACAAAGGCATCATTCAAAGGTGCACATGACAGTGTAAAAAAGCAATTAGAGAAGGATAGGTATATGTAAAATAGGTGAAGGGTGGGGATCAATCTAAGAAAAGTGCACCAAATGGGGATAGAGGCACTCAATCTGGTCTGTGGATTTACCCAGGACTTGTAGTTAGGCTTCAAACTGCCTTCAACTTGAAGGTTGGGTTTCACTGGGACCCACTCCTGTCTGCCTAGGATTTGTCTACCTTCTGCCTGTATTGCTGTCAATAACCATCTTAGGAGATGAGGTGTGAGTGGTTTCTCATTGAGGTTTTAATTTGCATTTCTGTAATGACTAGAGATGTTGAAAATATTTTCATGTTCTTATTAAGCATTTGTTTGTCTTGTATGGAAAAATGTCTATACAAGTCCTTTGCCTAATTTTCATTGGGTTTTTTGTCATTTTGTTCTTGAGCTGTAAGAGTACTTTATTCAATATATTAAGCTCTCAAAAAAATATACAATGTATAAATACTTTAAATATTTAATAAGTTTTATTTTCACTTTCTTGATAATTTTGTTTGATGCACTAAAGTTTTCAATTTTCATGAATCTTAATTCATCTCTTTTCACTTACATTGCTTGTTTTCTGGCGACATATCAACAAATCTGTTGTTTTATCCAGGGACATAAAGTTTTATGCCTAGGTTTTCTTCTGAGGGTTTTATGGGTTTAGCTCATACATTTGTTGATTTTTGTATAAGGTGTAAAGTGGGGTTCAACTTAAATCTTTTGCTTGTGGAAATCCAGTTATCTCAGTATTATTTATTGAGGATAGTTCTCCTTCCCACTGGGAAAGATAACTATATTTAAAAAAAAAATCAATTGTCCATATATGTGAGGGTTTATTTCAAGACTTTTAATTCTATTGAGTTATATATTATTTCTAATCTTTGTGCCAGTATCACACTGCTTTGATTACTGTAATAAGTTTTGAAATCCTCCTTTTTTTTTTTCTTTTTCAAAATTGTTTTGGCTTTTTTAAGCTCTTTGGAGTTCCATATGAATTTGAGAAGAAGCTTTTTCATTTAGCCCTAAATGACTGTTAAATTTTTGATACAGAGTGCATTGAGGCCAGAGCTTGCTTAGGGTGGTATTGACACAAAAATATTGTCTTCCTACCAATGAACATAAAATATCTTTCCATCTGCAATATTTTGTACTCTGCAGTGGTATCAGAATAACACGAGACTCATGGAATGAGTCAGGTTGTGTTTTCTCTTCTTCTATTTTGTGTAAGCATTTCAGGAATATTAGTGTTACTTTAAAAATGTTTAATAAAGGTCACAGTAAAATCTTTTGATCCTGGACTTTACTGGGAGGTTTTTGATAACTGATTCAATCTCTTATTGTAGATCTGTAGTTCTCTATTTATTCTGAGTCAGTTTAGACAATTTGTATGCTTATAAGAAGTTTCCATTTCATCTAGATTGTCTATTGTTTGAGATACATTTATTCATAATATATTCTTATAATCCTTTTTGTTTTTATAAAGTCAATAATTGTACCCCACTTTCATTTCTGATTTTAGTTATTTTTGTCTTTTTTGATTTGTCAGTCTGACTAAAGCCTTGTTAATTTTTTAAAAAATATTTTCAAAGAACCAACTTTGGTGTTTTTTTTTTGTATTTACATTTTTTCTTTTT